TTGGGTGCTGGGTACCCACTGCTGATGCAGGAGAAGCTAGGGTGAGCCCTGCTTCATGGAAGCTGTATCTCCTATCCCAGAGCAAAGCAGAGCTGACTGATGGAGATATTTGGCAAAAGTGTTTTCAGTTGACCAACACCTAAGTTTGATAGCTGCTTCTCTGCTTTTCTTCTAAATTCTACAACTTGAAGCAGTGAACGAGAGTCAGGAGTCATGTTTTGATTATTAGTTGTGTGTCTCTGGGCGAATTCCTCACCTGAGCATTCCAAAGTTTGCAAAATGAAGGAGTTGGATGAGGCATTGATTCTCTAGCTACAATTTATGCCCTGTATGCTTCTGAAATATTTTCAGAAAAAATCACAGAGAGATAAACGAAGGCATGTATACAGTGAGGCAGGTATATTTAGACTAGGACCCAGGAATAAGTTATTTACCATATTAAATTTCATTCTGAATTTACAGGCAGCTGTAAAATATAGAATTCTTATCATCTAACTGAAGGAAGACTAACACTTCTTTGGGTATTTATTTGGCATTACTTTGGAGGAGAAGTATATGGTCGAGAAGATATGACCACTAGTTGACCAGTGAGCTAGCTCCAGGGCAATCGGAATCTCCTTCCTCCTCCCCTGCCCTTGAAATGTACATTCCAGCCACTGTTCCCATAGTGGGAGCAAGCGGAAGGCCATAGCCTCGAGAGAGAGAATAGGGTGTTGCTGAGACCATCTTGAACTTACATGTGACTGAATCCAGGTACGTCCTGTGTATAAACTTTAAGATCCTGGTGGGCATGTTGCAGAGGCACCTGAGAAAGTCACATGTAAGTTCCCTTGCTTGTTCAACCTGCCACCTACCTTGTCCTATCTCTTCTTGACTTCTTCAGATTATCCCACAAAAGCTCCAGAGTTTGCAAATCTACACACCTATTAAATGTTTGATTTTTTTTTTATTGCAAAAGCAGCACTAACACCATTTAAAACTTTTTAAAAAGCTAAAATTCACTTTCAATCCAACTACCTCAATAAATGTAAGTATTTTCCTTGTGGTCTTTACCAGCATAAAAATTATTCAGGTTACCATATCTAGAGAAAATCTTTGTTTTTTGCTTTTGCGTTTTTTTCACCTAGGAATATGCAACCTTTACTTCCCTGCTGCTGCAGCACTTGTGAACGTTATTTTAAATGTCTGCACAATATCGATTGAATAGACTTAGCAGTTCCTTGACTGTTAGGTATTTAGTTGATTTCTGGTTTTTCCTTACAACCCAGAATAAGCAATTAATATTGCACTCTTTTTCTTCTTTAGAATTTCCTGGAATGAGATTAGGTCCAAACGTACGGACTGACTCTCTTCTAAGCCTTGATGCCTTGCTTTCCTTAGAAATTGTGCTACTTGAGTATGAAATGCTGACATTTAAGGTTCCATGGAGTGTTAGAGAATAATGATCTTTTTAGATTATAAATGACTCTGGATGGGTCTGTTGCAAGGCAGGCTTTATCCATGTAAAGCAGTGAAAACATTTGAATTTGTATAGATTTATTTTCAGTATAAATATGCTTTTAGTATTTCTATGTATGCAGTCTATTCATGCAGGGGTAGAAGGGCACATTTATTTAATTGGGGGTAAACAGTGCCTGGGCAGAGGGTGATGAGGAATGGAGTGCTTTGATGTATGGTACTCCTCTCAAATTGGGGAGGGTGTTGAAGTTCCTTGTCCTTGCAAAGTTGTGCCCATGATCAGAAGAGCTGAAGTCATTCTGGATTCGGGCGGCTGGGCTCCATTTTCCAGGATTCATGGCTGTAAGAATATAACTGAAGCCGAGTTTCCTTCTTTCCTGGATCTCAAACAGCTTGGGCTCAAAGTGCTCTGATTCTCTTCCCCGAGTGTTTCCAGAGAAGACAGCCTGAGGGAGAGGAAGTGGTGCTAATTAAGTCCTCCCTCTGTTTTCCAGGCACAGGAGCCTTCTGCAGATGTCTGTTGGGCGTGTTCGCAGAGTGTGGCAAATAGAAAGGCAGGCTTTCCTTCCCCAAAGGCACAAACCTTCCTTCACAGGTTACAGGGAACTCTAGAAACACACTTCCTTCCAACAGCCACTGTGTGATTGAGGTGCCAGACCTGCCCGGGAGGCCAAAGTGCTTCACTGATTGTTCTCTCAGTCTCTCTCTCTCTCTCTCTCTCTCTCTCTTTCTGTGTGTGTGTGTGTGTGTGTCTCTCTCTCACACACATGTACAGGTGCACACGCACACAATTTCTCCTGTTTCTATGGGGGGGGTGCCTTGTATTTCTTACAGACCATTCTCTGCCTTTTGTACCTTAAAAAAAATTGCTGAAGACCGCCTCAGCGAAGTCTTCCTACTGCAATACAGCGTGCCTCATGATGGACATGCTAGACTGGACCAGAAGCATGGTTGGGAGCTCTGGGTGGGCATCCTGGTGCTGCCACAACTGAGTGTATCCTGGGTGGGTCCCCTTAATGCTGTGATCCCCAGAGATGCAGGTAAAATCATCTTCCTAGGGTTGCTGGGAGGATCAGATGGAGGAACCTATAATGTGACCCGTGGAGGGCTTTACACTGGTGAGCCCCCCTAACCATCTGTGTTTTCTCCTGCACTCAAATCCCTCAGGGTGACTGGATATGTCTGCATTTGCCCAAGATAATTTAGTTTACTCCTATCATTCTGATGTAATTGTTAATAGTACCCTTCTCAAGCTCCAAAGTGTCCAGCTTTAGGCCACAGGTTAAACGCTCATCATACTATTTTTTACCGCTCCTGAATATTCTAATTCCAATGTTAAGAATGTCAACTTGCAGGAGTCAGGACTGTTTCTCATTCTCTACTATTCCACAAGAATTGAGGAAACTGAATTTATCTAATTAAGAACACTGAGGCAGCTCTGAGAATACGATGACTTTCCCAGTCACAGTGAAGCTGGACACAAAATCCACTTTCTATGTAGCATGAACAGTACTTACTGTAGGTCTGACTCATACAGGAGAGCCTGGTTCTCATCTCATGGAGTCAAAGAATGAATCTCATGGACAACAGAGAGTGAGCAAAGTGATAGAAGTTTATCAAGCAGTGATACAGAGAAAGCTCTCTGAAGTAAGAGGGGTCCCACAGGGTTGCTGCTGAGGACTTTTCTGCTCTGTCTTTTATAGGAAACTGACCAGGGAACTTGGTAAATTTCTTGTCAATATCAGGGTGGATATTGGGATCCCTGGGTGGCTCAGCAGTTGAGCGCCTGCCTTTGGCCCAAGGTGCGATCCTGGAGACCCGGGGTCCAGTCCAACCTTGGGCTCCCTGCATGGAGCCTGCCTCTCCCTCTGCCTGTGTCTCTGCCTCTCTCTCTCTCTCTATGTGTGTGTCTCTCATGAATAAATAAATAAAATATTAAAAAAATATATCAGGGTGGATATTTAGAAGAAACATGGTGGACCTGTAACTGACAAAATAACAAACAAGATGTTTTGTAAATATCATAAGTTATTGCCTTCTCTCAGGTTAATACCTCCTCCATAATATTTCTCTACATCTGGAATTTCTGTGAGCTTAGTCAGGTAGCCCATGGTCTTGAGATTCTTGCACTGTCTTGGTTTGAGCAGGGACTATTGATAACATCTTAATGACATATTTCTGTGATTACTTAGTCGCCATTAACAGGGGATAATCCATAACATTTTGGAGCTAGGGAGCCAAGTTTATTTTTTCTGTTTTTACTTTCTTATCTCTGTTTTGTTGGGATGGTTAGAAGCCTGACTCTGGGGCCTTTTCCTTATCTTTCCCTCCCTAGCCCCATCTGCTCCTAACTCGTTCCTAAATCAGGACTATTTGGCCTCAGCTTAGAAACAGTAACCTGATGTAGGGGCTCTTTTTACTAGGCTAGTATGTGCCATCTATGTATTTTGTTAAATTTTGCTGTATATTTACAAAATAGAAACGAGTTTATTATGTTTTTACTTAAGCATATGTAATCATTGTAAGCATCCAGAGATTTACCAAAAAAAAAAAAATTAAAATCACCTATCATCCAGAGATAACCATTGTTAATATTCAATTTTATTTCTTTGTAGACTTTTTCTAACCCTGTCACAAAACACACATATATACATATTCAACTCCAAGTTTCCTTTCCTCTTTCTTTTTTTTGAATTATTTTAAACCATTTGAATATAATAATTCATTATTATTCATAATCTTTTCCCATTAACAATATATTTTGGGTATATTTCCCATGATAAAAAATATCCACTTACATTTTTAATGACTACATTGTATTTTATTTTATGATATAACATATTTAGCCAATTCCCTACTGATGGGTTCTTAGTTTCTCTATATTCTTCTGGTATTAGATATAATGTATGAGTGACTAATGTGGTGGTGATACACAATATTTTGCTCTTAGACATAAGTTGTCAGTATTTTTCTGCTATTAGACACATTGATGTGTCTTCCTATATTGATGTATTTGGGCATTTGTCTAAATTTGTTCCTTAGGATAAAATTTTAGAATTGTTGTTTTTTGAGTTAAAAATATGCTGTTTAAGTGTTTTTGTGCCCTATTACTACCCAAGCAGCATATGAGAAAGTGCATTATCATTCTTTTTAACTGTTAAGTAAGTTGACAGGCTGGTAGGTTTTTAAGCAAAAAATTCTATGAAATCTTAAAGATCAATTGTTTGGTAATTATTTCATACTATTATCTCCATACTCAGCTCCCTGTCCTCTGGGATTAAAGATGGGAAAATGGACCTACTTGCAGCCCTCTTGTGTCTATCTGAGGGTCTCTACTTCTCTCCCCTGGTAAATGACCAGGTAGGTGGTAGAGTCTCTGTTATTGAACTGCACTCATTAGTGCCTTTGTTAATGTATGAATGCATTTGTCAGTTTCAGGAACATCACGTGCACACTGCAGACTTTTTTGCTCTAGCCAGGACATAGGTAACTTCTTTTCCCCTTTTTTTCTAATGAGAAGATTCTTTCTTCTCTTGTTTTAGATAGAAGAAATGTCAACAATTGGGAGTTTTGAAGGATTCCAGCCTGTGTCTCTGAAGCAAGAGGGAGATGACCAACCCTCTGAGACTGACCAGCTGTCCATGGAGGAGGGGGACCCAGGCAAGGACTCGGAGACAAGGCAGATTTCAAGACAGCCCAGTGTGACTGAATCAACACTGTACCCCAATCCTTATCACAGACCTTTTGCCTCACGGAAGTACTTCGTGACACGGGTAAAATTTTTGGTGCTCTGAAATACTATACAAGACTACTCTTAAAATATTCTAATATCATGATAAATACTGTATATATTTGCCAAGTATTTTCACGTTTGTTATCTCCTGTAATAGTAATAACCATGAAGTAGGTATTATTATCCCCATGTTACAGAGGAAGGATCTAAATTTCCGTTAAGGGTCTACTTTTGATAACCAGGTAGTATTGAGGAGAGGCTGGTTATCCACTCTCCAGGGATCTTTGGCTCCTCAGCCCTGTGTTCATGTTAAACCTGATCTCCACAGATTAGTGATCTATGGAGAGAAAACCCAGGCAGTGAGAATACAAAATTCTGTGTCCAGAGTAGGTTATTTGTCGCATTTTTGAAAAGGACGGGGGTGATGGAGTGGAAGAGCTTGCTGAGAATGGGTTAGACCTCAGTGTCTACACTGGGATGCTGGAATGACAGTGTGGGAACAGACACTTTTAAATCCCAAGCCTTCTGTTACTCTCTGGAGCTGAGCCCTTTTGCCTAAGAAAGTAAACAGATAGGTGGGTAATGAAGATGGATTATGTGTATCTAGATGTAAAAGATTAGGCACCTGGGTGGCTCCATCAGTTGAGCATCTGACTCTTGATTTTTGGCTCAGGTCATGATCTTGGGGGTTGTGGGATCAAGCCTCATGTCAGACTCGGCACTGTGTGTGGAGCCTGCTTGAGGTTCTCTCTCTCTGTCTGCTCTGTCTGCCCCTCTTCCTACTCACTCCCTCTCTAAATAAATAAATAAATAAATAAATAAATAAATAAATAAGAAAGACAGTTTGAACTTCTAGCATCTGGATCAAGTGGAGAGTGGGAGAGTGCTTCCTGAGTTTGAGTACTTTCTCTCTCTCTCTCTCTCTCTCTCTCTCCTTCCTACTTATCAATGTTCTTTCCCAATCCTCAATGTTCTTGTTAGCACAATAATTGCTGGCTCACGGGCTATAATCAGTTGGTGGCAAAACTGGGGATTCTACAGTGTGGCAATGAAGATCATCACATTTTTGAAGCATTCATGGGACAAATCTTGAAAAAATTTTTTCTTCAACTCAATCTTATAAATAAATGATGGCTAAGATGTTGTGATGATTTACAAGTTTTACTGACAAATCCTGATTTGGTAGCTTTTAAAACATCTTTGGTTAAGATAAAATTTTAACTAAAATGACTCAATGTGTGAGTAGGTGTGTGCGTGTGTATGCATGTTTGAAGCTAACACATACCCGTATCATTTGTACTTAGCCACTCTGATGTGTTAAGGTGCTTTGGTAGGTGCTATACTATGTGTGTGTGTTTGTGTGAGTGTTTTTGCACATGCAGAGCATATGGTTTGTTTTCCAAAGTATATGAACTTTATTGAATAAGCAAAATTAAGTTGTAAGATACATCTGTGAAGAAAATCAAAGCATCCCCTAAAGTTGTCTTATCTTTGGTAATGATGATGTACCAGTCACAGTTTGATGAGATAACAAGCATGAGTGGTATGGAATAAGAGATTCATCATGCTCAGAAGCTGGTGCAGTTATGAGGGCTGGCTGGGAAGTCTCTGCAAAGCTGTCATCTTTGCACCTGGTGATGGGCCTGAAGTTGCTATAGGCCTACCAATTGGTAGTCATGAAGTGGGAATAGGGAATAAGGGAAACACTGGAACCTGTACAGACAAACCAGAATTCCTGAGGAAAAACTGGAATCTGTGTCTGTCTCCCACCAAGTTTAAACTTGAAGATGTGAGTCCTTTCAGGTGGCCTTTCTCTACTGAGCTGCACACTTACCAAGCCTAGGAAAAGGAGAATATGAGGAGGTCTAATTGCCAGCAGTAGCTGTAGGTCTGTCCGGGTGCTGCCCTGTACCACCAAGTGAAACAGGGGATCAGCAACTGTGAATATGAGCTTGCACAGTGCCTGGTGGACTGCACTGATCTTCCACAGGGAAATAACTGATGTGTCACTTCTGCCTTGCAAATCTTACACTAATGTCTCTTGTGGCCAACTCTACTTTGAAATGGATAGGAAAGGAAACTCTAGAAAATGTAGTTCTAGCTTAGCTAAATCGACCCAGTCTAAAGCCACCATGGAGGTTTTGTTTGTGTGTGTGTTTGAATGATGCTTTTATTTGTATGGTTCTATGCAACTTATCAAGTGAAGTGCCCTGGAGTAACACTATAAGGTCAGTGGGGGAGAACTGCTCACTCTTGTTTTATTGTAAACATAGTACAGTTTCGGGGGAGTGAAATTACCTGAACAAGTCACATGATATTAGTGAAAGAGCTATAGCTAGAATCTGTGTCTTCTGTCTGTAAGTCCAGTGCTCTTCCTACCATCATGTACAATTGCTTTTATAAGTCAATCAGTGACTGACTCCAGTCCATGAGAAGAGTATCTTCTCCCTCGAGTAAATAGACACAAACCCTAAGTTCACAAGAGGTTGGGAGGGAAACCTTCTAATCTTGTTAATGAATTTAGAGTAGACTTGAGGACTCTTTAGGAGTTGTGAGGGCTACATTCCCAAGGCACTCAGCATTTGCTCTCCTTCAGACTGATAGATCAAATATATATATATATATATATATATATATATATATATACACACACACACACACACATATATATATGTTTAGCACATGAGTATAATGAATGTGCTTTATATGTATTTTTATATTTTTATCTCTCTATATAAATTTCCTCATTTGCAATGTGTGAATAAAATACAAGTTTTATACAGAGGTTTAAATAGGCTTATTTGTAAATATGCTTAGTACAGTGCATGACATGTCTATTAACATTTTATAAGCAGCATCTCATTGCTATTATGAATACTTTCTTATTGATTTGACATCCCTATTTCTATATTTGATCATAGGGAATGACATTAAGATGCCTGTGACCTCACCATGACTTCCAGGGTGATATATAAATGTAGATGTATAGTTTCTATAGCAGTCAAGAGGTTTGAGTGAAGGAAACTAATTCATTTTCTCAGGGAATAATTCAATAAGACCCAGGCTATGGATGATTCAGAGCTATTAAAGATTCATCATGAAGTATCACTTCTTAGAGCTGAAATGAGATCGACATATGATCTGGTCTACTGATTCTCCATCTTTATCATGCAAACAAATGACCTGGAGATCTTGTGAAAATGCTGGTCTGATTCAGTAGGCCTGGAGTAAGGCATTAGATTCTGCATTTATATAGATTCTCTGGTGATAAGATGCAGTCTGTCCACACAACATACCTTGAGCACCAAGGAGCTATCAACATTCTCATTTTCAGAAGTAACTAAGGCCCAGAGAGGGCTTGTCAAGTGTCATAACCATTAATGAATGCTGACTTGCCCAAGAGGCTAGTAGTAAGTGCTAAAGCTGGGGTTAGAACCCAAGTATTCCAATTCCCAATTCATAGTTCTAGGATCCCACACAGCAATTAAAAAGAAGTGAGTTTACTACTGTGTAAGAATTTAAAGCATATAGGTTGTAAATTCAAAAGAACAGTAAGTAAATGAGCTGCGGAATTCCTTGATCAAGCATTTTGTTTCGTTAAATATTTTAAAATCATTTCACAGAAGGTGGTTTATTGGAAAAAAAAAAAAGGAAAATGTCGATAAGCAAAACGAAAGTCACCATAATCTCCCTGCCCAACATTAACCAAGTATATTGAATGTGTGCTTATACATTTTGGTGTGTATCCTGTCTTGCTTTTTCCTGACCTGTGCAATTGGTTGCATAAAAATATTTCCTATGCCAATAACTATACTTCCATAAAATCACTTAACAATTTAATTACATCCTGGTATGGAGAATATTCTACAATTTATTTAACTTTTGCTGGACATTGAAGTTGTTTCCTACTTACATCTTTTAACCCAGAAAGGAAAGTTACTCTTTGACTTGCTGTAGCAGAATGGCAGTCAGTTTCTTAGGGACCAGGAATAGATACCCAATGCTGTAATAAGAAAGAAGTTCAATTATATGAGTTTCAAACTGGATATGCAAAGATGTGACTGCTCTGGAAGTTAAAATTAATCTAGGAAAAACAAGAGACTCTGTTTGATGACCCTGAGATTATGACCTGAGCCAAAATCAAGAGTTGGATGCTTAAGCAACTGAGCCACCCAGGTGCCCCCAAGAGGCATTTTTTAGCATCATAACCTAATGCATTAGGTCATATCTCTAATGCATTAGATCATACCAGATTATAAAAGCAGTCAATCCTGTTCCTTAAACTTCTTATGTTCTTTCATGCGGCATCAGGGATGTTGCTTCCTATCCACGGGCTTCCAGACTATCATTTATTTCCTGAACTGTGCCCTTCCAACACAGCAATATTTGTGCTCAAAGAAAAGGTCTTAGAGGATATCTAATCCAATCCCCAAAACACAGAAAGGAGATGTGACTTGTCCAAAGTCAACCAGTAATTTGGGGGGCCATGCCAGAACTCCTGATGCTTTTTACCACCCCTCTAGAGCCTCTGACCTTGGTCAGTGAATGAGAGGTCATGAGAATAAATGTCTGAAGCACTGGCTGTCACTCTGCTTGGATACTTTTTCCTCCTGTTTTTGTTCATTTGCTATTTTATTGCTTAGACATATCTAAAAAAGGCCTGGTGCCTTTTCTGAACAAAAGTACCACTCAAGGCTAATAACTCGAGGTATATTATGATAATCCCTTTAGTTGTGGAGACTGATATTCAAAAGCAACTTCTTATGAAAGGAACAATACTTGATATGCATGGGGAAAGATATTTTTAAACTCCCTGTAGGACTCTATATTTGCAGATACCTTATCAGAAAGTTGAAAGCGATTAGGGATGGGGAATTATCTCTAAATTTATACTTGAGAATGTAAATTACATACAAACTAATGGGACTAAAACTATTTGATCTTTTAATATTTAATTAATGGTTCCCCATGGCCTTTTTATAGCCTGTGTTCTATTGTGAGGAACGAGACTTTAATAAGCAGGTTCAGGACTTCCCATTGTGTAGCAAGATGTCATTGCTTTCATGACACTAATTTGGCTTTCATACTCTCTCCCTTTCCCTCTTCTCTTACTATAGGGTTCCCTGAGTCTTACTCTTGCATTGGGAACAACTAAATATATTATTTATATTATTATTGTCTGTGTGAGTCTCTTTCTGGTCTAGAAATTACATATCTCACTGGGCAAAAGGTTTCTTGATTCCCCTCCTTATACTGAAATCCCTTGAAAATTGTAATAAATTTGATGTTTCTTTCTGAGGGCAGATACTTAACAATAATAAATTAAGAGGCATTTCTTTTATTTTCAGAGAAAGACACATTTGCCCTGGACTTTACAAATCACATCCAATTTAGAGCTGTTTTTCTTCTCTTATGTGTTTATCACAAAGTGATTTCTATCTGGGCATGATGACACCCACAAGAGAGATCTTATGGTATCTGAGTTCCTGGGAGCATTCCTTTCTTTATGGCCCCCTCCTCTTATTGTCTAGCTAGGGAGTCCAGTACATGGGAAACAGTTACCAGTGGACATATTATTTATTATTTATGTGACAACTGGCCCCTGGCTAGTCTAATTTAAGGGACCATAAAGAAACACACACACACACACACACACACACACACACGCACATGTCTTTGAAATTCCCTTAGTAGGTTTGTTTTGACTGAAGACGTTCTGTGCTGAACTATTAGAAAAGATACTGCCCACTCTGCTGTGTAATGACTTGTAAATAAGGATTCCCCCCTCATGATTTTTCTTCAGATTTAGCATTAGAAATATATGTGTATTGGATGAGGTATACTTATTATTCCAGTGTACTTTCCTATTAGTCCTAGGTGGCATGGAATCTTCAAGCCAATTGTTCCATTGCAGTGATCATTTGACCTCCAAATCCTGGTACTACTATTTTCCCTTCATTTAATACTAACAATAAGAATGAAAATACAGTGTTTTATTATCCAGTGTTCCCAAAGGTTTTTGGCATTTCCCAACAGCTCCGTTACAGTTAATATTGTCTTATCAGCCCAGCAAGTAAGTAAACTGATGTCTGGAATGATAAGGACATAATATGGGACTCATGGCAAATAGAAAGGCTGAGATCTAAACCTTGCCCTAGACACAAGTCAGAGTGCTCACACACTATCTCATTTTCTACACTGAATGGCTGAGGTTAATTTATTCCAGTTAACCAATGATGACAAGCGGAAGAGAGTAAAATACTCTTATCAGGATACAGTGATTAACTGTTCCATAAAGTCACAACCACTGTTTCTGCTGAAGGTGAGAACACCACACTCAGTGAGGATGTTGGCAGAACTCCAGAGACTTCCCAACCATTTTGTAGAAGCCACACTGATGTTCAATGTTTAAGTTTTGAAAAGGTATACAGTAAAACATCACCTCCATCCACTGTCCCATCAAGTGCCTCCCCCCACCAACCATAGGAGACCACTGTTAACATTTTCTAGGTATCCCTCTAGAGTTGCTTTAGCATATACAAGCATGTGCAAATATTTGTTCTTATCCCTTCTCTTTTTATACAAAAATGCAGCATATTTACCCTGTCTTCTGAACATTTTTTTCTTTCATTTAATAATGCATTTTGAAATCTTTCCATATTAACACAGATTTCCAATTTTTTTTGCACATTCATCATGTTCTGTTGTATGGATATGTCCTCTATTATATCTAACAAGTCCCCTATTGATCTATATTTGCCTTGTTTCCAAAATTTTGCTATTCACAAATAAGGCTGCAAAGAGCACTGTATAAACATCTGTCATTTTGCACATATGCAAGAACATCCATAGTATGACTTCAGACAAGTGGAATGTGAATGTCTAGATCAAAGGAGAGATCATTTTTGGTAGATTTTGCCAAATGCTTTCCTTCGGGAAGACAAGTAAGGTTTTGAAAGATTCTACAATTTTATATTCATCTTCACATGTTCTGGCAAAGTGCCTGGTGTAGAAGCATTCAACAAAATGCTTATTTTAGGATTATTTTATTATTCTCCAATTTCATTTACAGTTTTTTTTTCTTCTGCAAAGGATTAGTTTCACTACTGAGCTATATTAGCTGAGGAAGAAATTATGTGGATATAAGAAAAGAGACAGGAAAAATAGGATGAATCATCAAAGAAAGTATGATTTTGAGCAGTGGGCCTGATGCAGCCAGGCTGTATCACAGGGAGTTCAGGTTGGAGATGGGAATGTTGTCATGGGATTATAAAGGATTTCCCTCCAGCATAGTTTGGTCCTGCCAGTAGGGTCACTAGAACAGTGATGTTGATGCAGCCTTCTCTGTCAGTGGGGGCTCAAGGCATACTTGATTGATGCTCCAGAACTTACTGATTTTATGACTCACAGCTTCTACTAGGTATGGGCTGCCATATTAGCTTTCTGACAATCCGTGAACCAGCCGCAGAGAATGACAAAGGAGCCAGAAATTATTCAGTCCACTGGCTGACTATTCAATTCAACAGGAAATGTGTTAAAATGAGAAAATCAGAATGTCTTGGTATAAGGACTGTGATCATATTTTCTTAAAGACTTCCAGGAGGCTTTCATCATCAGCTTGGCTCAGAAAGCTTTTATTCAGTCTCCTCATTTGTCTTTATAGATAAAGAAATGGAGGCCAAGAAAACTCAAATCATTGGCTACAGGTCACAGAATTGATTTATAAGAGATCTAGAACAGGAACCCAGGTCACTTGACTCTGTTCGATGGACATTTCCTGGATGACTTGGGCTGTGCTAAGTGAATTGGATGGGGAGGTGCAGACCTAAGTAGGGAAAGCTCTACACCATTTCCCACCACTTCATCTGAAGCAGTGCCATTCTCTTCCTCATTTTCATATATGGATTCTCCTATTATAAGTTTTTTTTCCCCATGACCAATGGATTCTGTTGCCAAAATATTTCAAAGCCTTTTATCGCTGAGAAAGCAAACAAACCCAAATCCTATCACCACCCTACCTCTGAGAGGAAAAGGTATTTGAATGGGTCCTAGGCCATCCTAGTATCCTGGTTTCCTTTTGTGAGAAGAGAGTCTCAGCCTGGGAGGATTGGAAATGTTAATATTAGAGAATATGTGGTTAGTATTAAAGTCCTGTTATATAGAGAATATTCAAGAACTGGCATCCTACTTGTCAGTAGCTCAGGGCTGGGAATGAGGCCAGCACTGCATTGTAGGTGGGGCAATGGAATGTCTATTTTCTTGTCTTGTCTCTACCACATCTTAGCTGAGTGAACTTGACAGCTTACTTCCCCACACTGGCCCCTGTTTCCACACCTATAAAATTAAATGTCTTAAACTAGATAATCCCTGGGCTGCAGTGGTTCTCAACCTTGGCTACACATTGGAGTCATCTGGCATGCTTTAAAAAATCCTGATGTACTGATATGTGGGTCCCATCCACTGAGTATCTGATATGATTGCTCTGGTGTGAGGCCTGGGCATTAGAATTTGTAAAGGCTCCCTTGGTGATTTTGATGTGTACTCAAGGTTGAGAGTAATTGTCTAGAGAGCCACAGTTCTCATAGTACAGTCCCACACCAATAGCATCACCTGTGAACTTGTTGGAAATACAGATGCTTGGGCCCACTCCAGACCTATAAACTCAGAAACTCTGAAAACAATGCCCAGCATTATGTTTTTGATTCTCATGTACACTGAAGTTTAGGAATCACTGAGCTAGAGGTCTATGAATTTCTTATCGGAAAAGGGTTAATCAGCTTTTAAATGAGAGGTAGGCCCATAGGAGGAACACCTGTTTGGAGAAGGGTAAAGAATGCAAGGCAAGGAGAAAAAAAGTTAATTCTCCAGAGTCAGCTAAAATTATGGTAAGAATATTAGAAAAGGTTTCTCGGGACACCTAGGAGGTTCAGTGGTTGAGCATCTGCCTTCAGCCCGGGGCATGATCATGGAGTCCCAGGATCGAGTCCCACGTCAGGTTCCCTGCAAGGAGCCTGCTTTTCTCTCTGCCTATGTCTCTACCTCTCTCTCTCTCTCTCTCTCTCTCTCTCTCTCTCTCTGTCTTCAATGAATAAATAAATAAAATATTTAAAGAAAAAAAAGAAAAAGGTTTCTCTTAGATGTTATATTGCCATGTGCTCTTTGAAGAGAGAAAGGTTTGATTTAAAAAAATATATATATATTGCAAAATCCTTTGAACTTTCTGGTAAACATGCTTGTCAAAGAAAACTGGAACTCTGAAAATGGCTCTTTTCATTTCTATGAGAAAGTATGAGTATGATCATGGAAGACAGGACTCGGATCACTTTGGTCCCACCCAAGAAGAACAGCTTAGTAAATACCAGAGTTCAAGACTAAGTTCCCCGGCAGGCTGTTCCTAGAACAAACAGACAAACGCAAGACCTATCTTTCCCATCAGCTTTCTGGAGGAGACTATGGGTTATACTCACTAATTATAAGCAAAAAAGACGGCTCAGTTTTCTCTAAACCAGGTATTTTCTTTTTCCCATTCAGCCTGGGGCCATTGAGACTGCCATGGAAGACTTGAAAGGCCACATAGCCAAGACTTCTGGAGAGACAATTCAAGGCTTCTGGCTCTTGACAGAGTGAGTAGTTATGGCTAAGTGAAGGACAATAGAAATCTAGCATTTTCCTTAACACCACTATAACAGAATAGGAGATAGACATGTGGAAGAATTGCTTCTGGATGCCATGTAAGAATTGACTGGCATATCCCCTAGTTACAAAATAAAGTTTCGTGGTACCCTATGGCTGATGCATTACTAGGTTTGATTCCTACAACAATTTTCTGGGCTAGTCGCTTCACTCAGCTATCACCCTGACTCGCTTAGGTCAGACCCTCATCATGGCTCTCAAGGAATATGGCATTGGCCTCCTCACCAATCTCTTTGGTTCCAGCCTCTGTCTCTTACAAGTACTCTCTTCCAGCCATATCAGGCTAGTAACCATCCCACTCTGGGTACAGTGGAAAAGAAGGTTAGAAAAGATGAATGAGGTCAATGTATACAGTTCGAATTTTATCTTATGTATGGTAACATGGGCCCATGAAACCAGGGAAATCATGCAGGATAGAGAAGACAGGCCATCAGTCCAAAATTAGGATAAAAACCAAGTCTAACACTTGAGTCCTTATTCCTTTAATAAGTGCTCCATTTATCCCCAAGGCTTATCTTAGCTTTCATTGCAAATGACACCATGAAGATGGTTACCTTTGTGTCTTGCCCTGAAACTTTGGTGTCTATGACTTTTTCTTTGCTTACCAGGAGACTATTAGGAATACCATGGCCTTTACAATGATAAGTCATATATTCGCATAATAAGAGAAAGAGACACCTCTTTTCTGCTATAGAATCTATAGTATTAAATGAAGAATGTAGTTAGAACTCTATTTTGGATACTCAGTTGGTTCAGTGAGTTTTCTGGCTCCAAAGGCTCCAGCAGAAAAGCTCAGTAATTCTTACACTTCAAATAAAAAGAATCATTTAATCTTTCACCCCTGGGCAGGACATCTTCTTTGACTAAGCTTTTTTTTTTTTTTTTTTTTTTTCTGGTGGTGGGTGATGGGCAACACTTGAATGTTCAACCTTCCAGGCCAGCAGAACAACTCCCTCAGTCAATGGAATGTAGAACCAGATCATCTGTGGGTCCATCTGACTGACTGCCATATTACATTATTGTCTTAAAGGGGTTCTATGAACTGAATAAAAATGAGCTTGGAAAGCCAAATTGACCATTTCTAAGCATTTGTTTCTTCATGTTTAGACTAGAGATTATAATATGCACCTGAGGAATTGTTATAAGGGCTAAGTGAGAAAGCATGGTGAAACTCTTAGGCCCCAGCCCATAGGGGATTTTCAACAGATGTCAGTGTTCCTCCTCTGTTCACAAGTTCTAACTATTGGTAAAGTCCTTTTGTGTTTGTTTGTTCAGTTACCTCTGCCCTTATTTCTGTCCTGTCCTTCTCTATCTCTTTCATCTCTGGGTTGTCTGTAATGAGAAGAAAAGTCTATAATTTAGGTTTTCTACTTACTCATTTTTACCAATGCACATTTTACACCCCACCTTCCATGTGCAAGGTAAAATTTGACTTGTGCAGATAAAATGTCTGCCCTGATTAGGACAGATGTCTACTTAAATTCTGAAGGTCTAATCAGAAAAAGACACTTACCTATTTTGTTTCTACAATGAATTTCATTTATAAGAAAAAATACATGAATGGTGTCTTTCAAAATCCAGGTGTGGCATTTTGAATTCTCAAATAATAGAATGAGCAATTTCTTTAATAGTACATGTTTTAATTGCTTGTCTTATTTGTATGGAAATTTGTCTTATTTTTGTTTGTTTGTTTGATTGTTTTTGTTCAGTGATTATAAAGGCCAATAGATTTAATTTGTCCAAAAACAAAGGAGACTATGATCTGCATTGAGACTTAGCACCATAATTCTGTCTGTTTGATTTAACATCAGCTGGGATGATTAATAAGACTAGAAGTATTCAGATATTTTTGAACAGTTTATGCCTCAAAGACTCAAGTTTTGCACCTAGCTATGACCCTAATGGGAAGCTCAAAGAGTTAGTAAGGACTATCTGGCAACTAGTTTTCTATTTCTCTTTTGCTTTGTGGTATTCATTTATATTAGAGAGAATAATGAGGGATGTATCCTGTTTATTTGAAATTTTAAGCAATCATTGTCATATGCTGTCAGACTTTCTTCCTTTGCACTTTGGAACCATTTCCCCTCTTTATTTTATTCTTTTTAAAGATTTATTTTATTTTGAGAGAGAGGGAGCAGAAGGGAAGGACAGAGGGAAGGAAAGGGAGAGGGAGAGAGAATCCAAAGCCAACTCCATGCTGAGTGTGGAGCTCGACATGGGGCTCAATCCCGTGACCTCAAGATCATGACCTGAGCCAAAACCAAGAGTCAGACACTTAACCAATTAAGCTGCAGAGGCGCTACCCCCCCCCATTTCTCCTCTTTGGATGGTAGTCTTTTGTGTTATTTTTGGTCTTCCTCTCTGTCAAAATCCTTCTACACCTCTTCCTGCCATCTATTAAGAAAGATTTGATTCCAGTCATTTCTACCGTAGTAAGAATTTGACAGTTGCTTTTCTTTGCCTGCTAAGTCTTAAAGCTGATTTAGACTGCCTTCTTGTAGAGAAAGAGCTGCCAATTGTAACTAAGAGGTTCAGGCATTTGGGCTAAATGAATAGGTTCCCAGTCACTGTGACTGTTCAAGCAGAAGATGGGAGGCATTTATCAAAGGAAGGGCATGCCTAGAGATTCTGAATGACCTTTCACAATAAAGTCTTTGTTTATTTGTAACACACCAATGTAGGGAAGGTAAATACGACCATAAAAATAGTCAAACGATATCCAACCCCTCCTCTCCCAAATAACAACAGCAAAACAAAACAAAAAACTAAAGGAACCTATAAATACACAGGCACACTAAAGTGAGAGCCTGGTGGCTACTCTTGTCTTCTTTTCTCTTTTTTCTACTGAGATGAGACCCATCCATTCAATTCTTATGAGTTACAGAGGCAATACTATATAACAGCTTCCCCAACTGCATCAAACCACACAAGACTCTTTTCAAGTGTAACACTTTTTTGTGTGTGTGACAGATATGACTGGGCTTTATGCACATCAATGGTTAGTTCCTTTTATGGAAATGAGAAACTCCTAGCTACTATCCAACAGTTTAAAGAATATTCACTTTCAAACAAGTATTTCAGTTTCAGAATGATAAGAGTGAAAACCCTTCGCATGTATACAGTACATTACAAAAGAACTTCATGTCCATGAACTTGCTTTATGTTCACTACAGCCTTGCTGGTTTTGTGATTGCCTTTTAATGGATAGGAAATGGAGATGAGGGGTGAAGAAGTGGGCAAATAACAGAAAAAGTGAGGAAGTCAGACTGCAACCCCACACTAGCTGGGTTCTGATTCTTTCCCAAAGGGAGTAAGGTGTAGGTGTGGGGTGACTAATGAGCTCAGCTCAACCTTTAGTCATGGGTGATCAGAGTCCCAGAAGTGGTTTGATATAGAAAGGTGATGTGGGCACTATCATGAGTGCTTGAAGGCCTTAAGTATCAGGTTTAAGAACTTAGATTCTACCCCACAGGCGATGGGGAGACACTGATGGGTGACAAAAGTGTGACTGTATTTCTGTTTTATAAAGATCACTGAAGGCCACAATCCCTTATCTAAAGCTCTTGGAGCCATATGTGAATCAGATTGAGAATGTGTCAGATTTTAGAAAGGTAAAGCAATGCATATGTGTTTTATTTTGTGCTCCCAGTAGAAGTCTAGGACACCCCCCCCATTAATCAAACACATTAACATTTTTGCAGGGAAATATGCGATAGTAAAAATAGAAGAAATGGCTTCATGTTGGTTAAGATCGGGTTTTACCACAAGGTGCATTTACTAGTCTCAGGGCTTTATTGAATTTGGAATTGTGGATGAAGGTGTATGGCCTATACATGTTGGAAATGTGAAGGATCAGTGCATGGGTGGAAGGCTGGATGACAAATCAGATACTGTGCAGTACAAGTGGGGTCTGATGCAATGCTAGGCCGGGGCTGGTCCACACTGGTTTATGACCGGTGAATGTTATAATCTTAGGAATGATTGTTAATGATTAAAATAGAAAATTCCACACTAAATAAATTTAAAACAAAGGCAATATACTGAAAAACTCCTTACTTTCTGACTTTTTTACTTCATTTTGCTGTTCCGTTGGCTCTTCATGCCTACTGTATTTGTGTAGTGGAAATGCTACGTGATGGCGTGCCACTGTGCACCTCTTCTCAACTGTGCCTTCAGTGCTGTCACATTGTTAGCTTGGAATTGACCCTGGTGGCAGCAAGGAAACATGGAAGTCAGCAAACATGAGAGATCAGAGCTCCATTTATTGCTTTGTTGATTGTCTAAACTCAAGAAAGTGACAGAGAACATTTTGACAATGCAGATTAAACTTAAAAGTATGTCATGTCTGTGGCTGTGATGCTGCAATAACACACATGAAAAATTGAGGGAATGTTTTTCCAGCATTTAGAAAAACTATTATACAATTCCACAAAAGTCACCTTTTCCATTGAAGAACCCTGAACAGACAGCTGAAGGAAGCTTATTGCCAAGTGGAGGCTGTAAGGTTGCTGAGGGTCCATGTTCTGGGCATGAGGCTTTGGCCAGAGTCCATAGCTGTTCTCATACCTACAGAGCTGATTCTCAGTCCAGGCTGGAAATTATAAAAAAGCCTCTTCTTTTTGTTACATCCCTCTTGTGCTCTCTTCTGCAAAAGTGTAACAAGGGGCACACTTTAAAGAAGAAATGCTTAATGGAATTCTGTTGTTTAGTATAGAGCATGTACTGAAGGGTGCATTTGGGACTGAGAGGCAAACTAATAACCCACAGAGCTGGACTTTGTGGATCTCTGTGTTTAATCGTCTGTGAGGAAGGAGTTCAGGGCAACTCTTGGGCTTTGGCCTGGGAAACTGATGGGTTCACTCTGCCACCATTCCAGGTTTAGAAGGAAATGATAACTACGTTATTGAGAACACGCCATATGCCAAACGTT